TGGGGGGGGGGGGGAAGGATTGGTGAGATGATGGAGGGAGAAACGATGGTCGGTTGGCTTTGAGCGCGCACAAGGCAGGTGCTCATGCCGGCTCCCTTCGACGAAAGGGAGGGGGCGCCGGATTGCAAAAAGCTGCAACGCCGTGCTCCTCGCCAGCTCAAATGTCTTCATCCTCCTCCTCGATCGTCTGTTGACGTTGAGCCTGGCCGCTAGGTGGGTTCTTGGCCGGGCTACCGGGCAGCGTGTACTGCTTGATGGGCAAGAGAGAGAGAAACGCGAGGAACCCAGTTACGGCGATAAAGATAAAGACTTTTCTAAAGGAAAGCTGCATAGCATCCACCGCGAGAGCCTTTTGCTTCGGTGGCAGTCTCTGAATGTACGACACGTCCGCTCTGATCTCTTCGATGATTTTGCGAGGCAAGTGAGCTTTGCCAAGATTGACCTTGAGGTTGTTTTGAAGAATGGCGTTGGTGAGCGAGATGCCCAACACGCTTCCAGTAGCTCGGAAAAGGTACGTCACGCCTGTAGCAGCTGCCATTTGTGCTGGATCGATGGAGGCGATGAGAGCTACGAGGGTAATGGTGAGGATGCTGCCAAACGCTGCTCCTCCCCATGGCATTGTCAACCAGTAAGCCCACTCTGGAGTCACATTGCGCTGCCAGAAGACCATAGCCAATGGCCCAACCACTCCAGAAATTCCTCCAAGCAGCATCATCGTACGGTAGTTGCCGGTTCGAGCCATGATCAGACCAGATCCGAGGGAGCAGCTCGAAGCCACGATGGCGTTGGGAATCAAGTGCAGACCGGCGTAGGAGGAGGACGTGCCCTCGACGGAAGTAAAGTATTGCGGAACGTTGAACACTTGGGGGCAGGCAAGAGGAGAGGGTATGAGCTACCCAGCAGCAGAGTACTGGGACTGGGTGGGAGAGGCACAGTACTCACAAATGCCGAATTGGCTCATGCTGAGGAACCAGCAAGCCAAAGCTACTGCGCCGGGCGTGCGGTTGAACAGCACCGCCATGGGCATCAAAGGTTCTCTAGCGACGTACTTCTCCACGAGGACAAAGGCAGTGAGAACAACTGCGCCAGCAGCAAGCGTGCCCACCACCAAGCGATCGCTCCAGTCTCGCTCCGCTCCACCCAAACTCAAGCCGACCAAGATGAGGGTGATGCTGCTGACGAGAGTCAAGGCTCCCCAGACGTCGATGCGCTTGAACTTGTCCTTCATGCTTCCTGGACCAGCCGGGATGTCCACCTTCCACGAAACGACGCCGAGGTGTATCAGGCAGAGAGGTATTTGCATGAGGAATGCGAAACGCCACCCGAGACCTCCATCAGCAAGTGCACCACCGATAGGACCGCCGAGGGCTGCACCTGCCGCATAGACAAGATTTCCAATGCCCTGATAGCTGCAAGTGCAAAGCGCAAGTATGGTCTGTCAGCGACGTGCCTCGCAGCAGGGGCACTATCGTCGGAACTCACGTTCCTCGGTTCTTGAGGTCAATGAGATCGCTGGTAACAATAGTCGACATGCTTGTGAGGCCACCGCCTCCCACACCAGCAATAGCTCGAGCCGCACAAAGCTGCGGGAACGTTTGAGCCAGTCCGCAGAACAGAGTTCCAACAGCGAATACAGCCGAAGCAAAGAGCGTGGCGAACTTTCTTCCAAAGATGTCCGACAGTCTTCCGTACAAGGGTTGAAAGGCGGTTTGAGTCAAGAGGTAGGAAGTTCCTAGCCAGCCCACTTCTTTGCTGACGTAGAATTCGGAGCCTACGCGAGATTGGATCGTCGCGACCACTGTTCCGTCCAATGCCGCTACAAATGTTCCGATCCACATTGCTCCTAAGATGATGTACAAATCAGGCCTGCGGCCTGGCACCTCTTCCGAAGCGGGCCCATCAGGCAAGCGCAGTCCTGAGTGTTGGACGGAGAAGTGCGATTGGTCGGGTGGAGGAGGGATGAATGCGGACGAGTTTGGGTCTACACCATGAGAAGCATCGCGGACTGGTGAAGAGTTTGAGGAGCTGGAAATGTCAGCGTGTATGCTTTCAGTGATGCAGACGCAATCGAAAACAATGCTAGAGCTCACTAGCGCTGAATGCGCTCTCCTGTGCCAGAATCTCCTCGTCGGTGTAGGCAGTGCTGGAGGAGGCTTGAGAGTCTTGCGAGGTCCTGAATGTGCCTAGGCTACCAGGGCGGTGCGCAGCTCCAGCTGGAGCGCCATTGACCAGAGGCGTGCGCTCAGACGGAGCAGACATGATTGCTTTGGGTGGGCCAAGTCGCTGGCGGGAAGGACGTCGTGCAGGCAGGCGGAGCTCTGTAGAGAGAGAGTCCGAGTCTTTACGACAAGTCAGTATGGACAATGACGAGGCTGACGATGAGCTCAGAGCAGTGCGGGATGAGAGAAATCGCGCAAGCTGTAAGTGAGCGGTGGGAGAGGAGATGAGAAAAGGTGGGATGGAGATGAAGAATTTTGATTTGGGGAAAACAGCAGCCAAACCCCGCGGCGGCGGAAGTTGAAATGCACAAATCGATCACTGCATGCTGCTGAATATACAGTAGATTATGTTCACGAGAAGATACGTACTCACGACTGTACGGTACCACACGCCACGCACATGCTCGTGTCTGTGACTGCATCACTCCGACCGTGCACCCACGCACCGCCGCACCGCATACTCATCAGCAGCGCAGCATCAGGGTACGCGCTCCGCCAACAACCGCGGGCACGGCTCTGCCTCGGGTCCATCTGCTTCGAATCCTCTGCACGTACGATGCAGCCAGCATGCAACACGTAGCACGCGGGCATGATCGAGCGAGCCTGGCTTCTGTGCCTGATTGAGTTACGAGTGTTGGTGATGCTGTGTGGATGGCCATAATGCTTAGAGAGTGAA